AACAAATTTTTCTTTACATAATACCTAGAATATCCAGATTCACTCGAAAAAAAAAGCACTGAAAAAAACCGTTCGGATGCAGTTTTTTTTTAAATAAGAGCAAATGAGAATGTTGTTGTTTTATTTTTGAATGAATAACTTGAGTCAAATCAGAGTTATGGTTTAGACACGTTCAGTCCTGAATTTTGAGTTCTGTAATTAAATGTGTCATAGTTTTTGATGAACAAAGATCTGTGTGTAAGGGAAAGGAGAAAGGGCGTTTGCAAATTTCACTCCTTTCAGATTGGGCTTAAGAAAAATTTATTTACAAATTGAAAGGTTGATTATCTTGCATACCATGATCTAATATATACTCATAATATTTTTTTTTCAGTATTATTAATAAGACAACATCAAGATCTTCATATAAATTTCATCTTTAATTTATCTTTTAGCCGATGGCACATTTACTATAAAGCCATGATGACTTCTTATTAAGAAGTGATAATTAAATAAAATCATAATAAATTTAGTTTTTATTAAATTTGAGAATAATCTTGTAAAACATAATTTTGTCATAATGATTTTTATATCAGAATCTATTTGTCACATTGAATATCTTTGTTAATCTTTCTTTGCATTATTTCAAATATTCATCCACATAAATTTGTAAAAGAAAAACCTATTGTCTATAATAAACATATCGTTTTGCTAAATGCTTTGCAATAGACATAAGACCAGATCTTATTCAAAGAAGCTATTAGTAGAATTCTTGACGAATTAAAATATGAAATACGACGTAGTAGTTGTTTCTAATCACAGAAAGATTGATGCATTTCTTCACTATTCATTTATTTAATCTTCCGGAAATGCAATAAGGAAGTAGTTCATATATTATAGTGAACATTAAATATACAGTGGTTGATCATACATCAAATTGTGTTTCACAAAAAAATAATTTATTAGAAAACAAAGGCTACTTATCATCGTTTATATACAACAATGTTCAGAATACAGAGTGGACTAGAAGTTCTGTCGCATTTTGTATTATTAAATGTTTCTATACTACTATATGTGTATTTGTAGAACGATTTCCGTAGAGGACATGTATAATAAAACTTACTCTTTAAAATAACTATAAATCTCCCTTGCTATTACATTTAGTAAGAAAATTATAGATCTAGAAATATCTGTTAGATTTCAAAGTGAATTAACCTTTAATGATTTCTTGCAATAATCGTTCGAATCAAAATGCGTTATATTCAAAAAAACGTTAATTGTAATAGATTTAGTCTACACATAATTTCAATGGTAAGGTATTTCCATTCTCACATATTTTAATGCGAGAAATATTTTGGTTATTACTAAGGATTAATATTTAATTTCCTTTAAATGAGTACTTTTTTTTTTCTCTATAAAAACAGTTCTACGAATAAACATATATTAATACAGAAAAATTCAATATACAACATAAGACAGAATTTCAGACTCATCCATTATGTCTAATGCATATGAATGTATTACATAGTATCTTTTTGCCTATTAATTATAAGACGCTATCTTTTGGTTTGTTCTATTTTACTCTGTGTATGATTATCTAACACGCATGAACTCTGCTTTCTTGTCACACGCATTTATGTTTTTTCTATTGCTATTTATATCTTCTGTTGGTTTGTCCTCTAAATTCTTTTCCTTAACTTTTTCTACTTTATACTTTAATTGTTATTGAATAAAATTTGAACTCAAATTTACATAAAATAATACATAGAAATGTGAAAATTACTATGATCTTTTTTCGAAGTTTATTCATTGACGGATTAATTCAATTTTATATTTTCATAAATGTCATATTATTAAGTTATTATGAGTGAATGACATAGGAACAAAAATTAAGATTAAACTAATTTAGATCAAAAGAAAAACAGAAAAACAGTTTGACGATCTACAAGCAAAATTACTCCTATCAATTTTACTGATTGTACCGTATAGTTGTTTTGATTATATAATAGAACTCGTAGAGATATAAAATTTAATCTTCTATGAAAAGAAGAGTGCTTCAGGTACAGTAAAATCGGATCTGGATTACCTGTCATTAAGAAAAAAAAGAAGTTTCTTGTCATGAAACGCAGAACAAAAAATTGTTTTCTATTTTTTATTACACATTAATTCTATTCTACAAACATTTTTAATAGATAATTTATGAATTAATTCATCTTCACTTCCAAAATCAGATTGAACATTACTTTCAAAATATATAACATATGCCATTAATACTTTCATTTCTTTATAAAATGCGCAATAAAATAATCGCCTCAAGTCTTACTATTAGGTAAAGAATACATGATTTTGAATCTTATTGTTTACTACTTTTTATTATAAAAAAAGCTTGATAAACCTTGGTTTTAGGCATAAAGCCGAAGTTGATCAGCCCTCATGCATTGGATTTAGAATAAAAAAAAACTGTTTATTTTCTTAGACATCATAAAAGACTTTTTCGATATTATTTTGAAGGATTAATATCCATCTTTCTATCGAGTAATAAATCTCTACATGTCTTTATTATGTCATCGATAGAAGATTTCAGTCTGTTGTCATGTAAAGACACGACGACATTTCCACTATCTGATATTTTCTTCACATAAATTTCCGCTTTACTAATTATCGTAACGATGATGTTTTCAAAGAGTTCTCGATTACAGGAGAGAACTTATTGAAAATAAGCCGCAAGATTATTTTTCAAAAAGAATTTCATAAATCAAGCAAATTATAATTGTTTAGTATGAAGCATATTATCGATGATAAATGCAATATTTAATTATCTAATAAGAGGATAAACAGTATAAGATTTTTAACTAGTACTGAAATATCCTTGTCTGACTAAAAAAAATTCGTGTTGCCTTTCTAACTCCTTCACATGAAAATCAATCAGAGTGCATTGCACTCTATCTGTAGACAAAATATGAGACCAAAAGAGTTACATTTCAACATTTTTTTATCCAATAGCGAAACCTTTGATGACTACTGAATATATGTATACTCAATATAACATATAGCAACAAGTTAATCTCATGTCCACAGTCAATTTATTGTTACAATTATTTATTAGTGCTATAGTTGATTTTTGCATAATGATAACTGTAGAACAATGTTATTTTACCCAACGTAAAATACATGATCTTTGATCGTTTTATTCAATGCTTATACTTTCGTTAAAATTATTTTTTCAAGCTCACTATATAAAACATATAACCACATAACTCGATTATGATGAAACATTTGTTAAATAAATGCTTATTACTTAAGCTTTTTTAGAATAATTGAAAATAAAAATATGAATAGTGACAGTCTATTTATATAGAATAGTTCATTTTTTTTAAGGTAATTAATATGTTTAAATGATGTAATGGTATAATTTTCTTTTACTAGTTAATACGATGTTTTACTGTTTGTTATTAAAATTATACGAGATATGCTCAAATTTCGATTAAACTATTTATGAAAACAAAAGAAATGCATCATTTAGTTAATGTAATCAATCGAACTATAACTAATAATTATGAATATGTATCATTATATGAAAATACTTGATTGTCATGAGAATCAAATAAATTATTCTTTCATTTATTTTGATATTAAACTTTTTTTTATGTAGCATTGTTTTTGACTAGAACTAAATTTAATTAAAAATATTTCTATAATATTAACTTTTTTAAATAAACTGACAAAATTAAATATATAGAAAAAATTTCTTGTTTTTTTGCTAAAGTAAAGAATTCAACTATAGTCATCAGGCACAATATAGATTAGATATGGTCAATCAAACATATAAATGAAAAATATTATTTATATTCAAACATTATTTACAGTTAATCAATAAGACAAGATTAGATTTAATTTGTTCTATAATGATATGTTTACATACTCATTGTTACGTGTAGGTGTTCTTCGTATCATTACTTCCTTTCATTTTTGTATGTTATTATGCGTATTGTTGCGTAATTGATCACTTACATTACACTCAAATACCTTTCTCTTTTGCTATATATATATATGTCCTATAAATTCATGAAAAATAACAAAAAATACTATTACTAACATTTTAATATTGAGTTTGAGAATTCAATGAACTCTCAATACTCTATTTACAGAAACAATATGCGAAACATATGACATACAAATAATACCTTATTTTATCTAATATTATTATGAGTTTTTATAGATTATCAAACTGATAATCAGTTTCATTTAGATCTATATTGACTTTGAATGGATTTCTCAAAGATTATTGAATATTAATATAATTATATATAAACATAATGCATCCATATATTCTAGATCAATAAATAATAGACTTCGAGTACATTTACAGATCAGCGACACTATGCTGCGCGCACTCTTCAATATACTCTGTCAATCAGATCAATTAGTATGAATGAGGTCGTCAATGTGCAAAAGTGCTAGCCTTCAGATGATTTGTACAACATGATATTCTTTTACTTTAGTGTTCTGGCAATTCTCATTGGCGACTGTCTTTTCCAATCATACTTGTTTTGGCAAGCACCTGCAGAAATAACAAAAAAAATGTGTTTTTCTTATCGAGGCTCGCCGGAAATATTTGCAGAATGAGAAAAAAAACAGAATACAAAAGAAAAAACGCGAGAAGAAAAAAAGAAACCAAAAAAAAAGTGCTCAGTATTGTGCGTGGTTAGAAGTATAAAGATCAGTAACAGTTACAAGTTTCTTCAGTCACCATAAAGTACTAAAACTAAGACATTATTTTTATTGAAATATGACATCTTTTTTTCTTCACAGTTAGATTCATTTATTATTGTTTTTTCTTCTTTAAAAATCGACTATGTTCTAGATAAAACCCTCTACCTTAAAACCATCAATTATTGTCTATATTATATTTACGCATTGTTCTTGGTGTTACTATGACCTTGACGATAAATTTACATCTTTGATAAATGTACTTTATTTTTATGACTAAGTAAAACTTTGCCAATTTAAGAAAATTAGCAATGGCTTTCAAACGACCTTCGTCTATTGCACCAATTCATCATCGATTTAATAAAATTTACATAGAATTCAATGAAAACAGTTGCTGTCAAGTATGTGGTGATAAAGCACATATTTTTAATTATGGAGCTTTATCGTGTGCATCTTGTAAAACATTTTTTCGTCGTCATGGTTTTCATCCTGAAGTTTGTAGATCATATTAAATATTTTTATTAATACTTTTTTTTTCTTTTCTTTTGTTCAGAATATTCCTCAATGTGATTTTTATGAACAATGTGAAATTACAATACAATCAAGAAGAATGTGTACATCATGTCGTTTTGCTAAATGTCTTGCAGTTGGAATGAGTCCAGATCTTATTCGCAAAGAAGATCTTACTGGAAAATGTCGTGCATTAATAAAACCTAAACAACACCGCATTAGTTTGTCGAAATCAACCACAGTATGTACATGAAGCAAAACGAGTTCAAACTTGAGCAAAAAAAAAGCCCAATGTTACTGTTTCACAATTTAAGATATGTTATACAAATAAATGAATATGTACAATAGTTAAGAGTTCAACGAAAAGAAGAATCGATAAAAAAAAAAGAGGAATGAATTGATAAGAACAATTTTATTTTTCGAGATATAAATACAAAATAGAATGAAGAGGTTTTGTAGAATGATTATAAATTCTTGCAAAAGAATTACAATAAATTATCTATTTGTAGTCAAAGATGGATTTTTTTGTTAAATAATGATGACGAAGTGAATAATAAATAGTTCGATAGAAAAACAAAAAATTACCGTATTCTAATCACATTTTATAAGTATGATATATCATGGAGGTTCTTTTACGATTAACAATAAGCCTTTGGTAACTTCTCTTTTATGGATTCATTGATACAAAATGTCAATATTTTTTCAGGATGATCTTTCTAACATTCTTATTGTAGAATTCAACACATGTTAAAATTAGACAAGAAAAAAACTCGAATTCTCAAATATTTTTCTACTGTTATGAACATAATCATTTGTTGAACAAATTTCTTTTTATTTTAACTTTAGCCTAATTTCATATTCTCTCCATTGAATCTTGTTTTTCACGATATGTCTTCTCTTACTCCAGCCAATTGGATGTTACTTTCAAATATTGTTCATGCATTTGATTCATTTAGTCCTTTATTTGAAGTACAACGTATTATTGAATTTCTCACTCACACTTCAGTAGATTATAATTATATTTTTCAACAATCACGAAATATTGTTAAAATTATTTATCAATCATTTCAATCGTCTATTAGTTCAACAGCTGATTTTCGAATAATGACAACTGATGAACAATGTTCTCTTATTCAACGTAATATGCTTGGTGTTTGGGCGTTTTATTCTATGGTAATATGCCATCAATGTAAATTGTTTGATAATGTAGCAAGTAAAAATATTATGAGACCATTGTATGGATCTGATAATGTTGAATATGTTAAATCCATTACTGTACGACTTGATCCTGATTTAACACTTGTTAAACTTATACTTATGGTTTTAAGTTTTTCGTCAAATTGTTTTGCTGTAAATG